ATTACAATTGTGTAACAAATGTGACCCAAGAATACATACCTTGAATGCAATCCATTCGCTCTCCAATTCCTGGAGGGGAACGGCGCTCACCGACACTATTAAGGCTAAGGCTATGAAGACTTTCATTTTTGAGTCAATACCTATCAACTTGTATTGGAACTGGAGGTTTGTGTCGTTGTTTATATACCAAGTACATCATGAGGATAATTCAATGAATTGGTCTAATTGTAATCTTAAATTATGTTAATTTGAATAATAAATGAAAATAGTATCATTTGATTTTGATAATATAGTCATATGTTTTTCAAATTGTGTGTAAATTGTGAACTTGAAATGATGACAATCATATTGATTACAAGTACATGAGTACACAAGAATACAAGTCCACTCAGTGACTGCACTATTCATAGGGTATTGTATTAATAAAAGTGCATTAAAAAATGTAAATTTAAAACATAATTTGTAGCCCCCTTTATGCCTCCTTAAACCCATATTATAAAATGTCTGACATCTGCTCGTAAGCTTAATATAGGATAAAATACCAATAAAATGATATCGATTAAAATTGTTCATAGTTGATAAAATGGCAATATATTTTCTAGAAGGGTTATAGTATCCATTTTACTTGATTTTCATCTTGATAACAAGATTATATGTTTTCAATGTTACGTGTAAATTGTAGAAATATTTAGTATATTCTACAACATTTTTAGTATACTATGTATAACACTGATTACCAGGTACAGTGTGTGTCTATTTGATATTAAAAATTACCTTATCAATATACATAATATACTAAATATTGTACATAGTATATTAGTATACTATTTATAATACTAGTATACTATGTACAATATTTAGTATATTATGTATATTGATAAGGTAATTTTTAATATCAAATAGACACACACTGTACCTGGTAATCTTGGAACAAAGCTGGAGACAATTATTGGGAATTTATTACAGCAAAGATACTAATTGTAAAAGTTAAAATATTTTTAACTAAATTACAAATTTAGCCGACAATCTAGTTATAAACTGTTTAAAATGTATAATCTTTACAAGAATATGGTTTTCTTAAATAAGTCTATTTTTCAATAAAAGGAATTGTTAAGTTTATAAAATTTTTAGTTTAAATCAAGGTTTAGTATAAAGCTATTTGGTCGGTATAATCATGGTACCCTATTCTTGTTTATAAAAATGTTTCAATTCTTAATTGGTTGATAGGGATAAGCTTTTTGCAAATGTACTTGTGATTTTAATTTCATAATTAATTTCAATTCTAATTAAAAATATCATTTATCACAGATTAAGAGGTATTATTATGTACTCTCATTATATGTTGACTAACTACCATGGTAAGATTGGAGTTACTATTTAGAAAGTGCACTGTATTTGCATAATATATTTTTGACAAATAATCAAAATTAAATAAATATACACGAATATATTTTTGCATAATTTTATTTTAATAATTATATTAACAGTAATACATAGTATTTATAATCATATTTAGTGAACACCGGTAGGGTAGACACCATAGGTGGCCACACCGCACTGGTTATTATTGTTCCTGGCCAGTTTAATATAACCCTGAGCTCCCCATTGAGCGCCCCACGAGTTCTTAATAAGCCAGTAGTCCCGTCCCCTCTCACTGCCATAACCCACAGCCAGAACTGCGTGATTAAGACTCTGGAAATCGTTACGACAGGCGCTGTCAACATAGACACCGCTCGTGTAGAGTTGGAAGGTTTGGTGGCCGGCATCGATGACCACGGCTACCGGTCCCACGCGAGCCACGACCCTCTTGAGGGCTGACTCCCGACCGGTCTGTAAAGTGTTTAAACCGGTGACGGACACGGCTTTCTTACTCTTGTTGTACAGACACCAGTACGAACCCGGGTAGTCGGACTTGTATGGGTTGTCCGACTCCTTTTCAATACCCTCTTTGATGACCAGTTCAATGGCGTCCACGGGATCGCCGCCTGTATAACAGACATCTTGGTAAGTACGACCGGGATAAATACAGTCCATTATCTGTTGGGGCGCCAGTGTCACCAGATTTCCCGTATTGATAGCGTACTGACCTGTGGGGCAGGTATTTGTTATGAAAGATTTTATGGATAGGCTCTAATTTTGAATATTTGTCAATTTCTGACTAAATACATATTGTAACGTTTCATGACCAAGTACAGTAAGTGTAATACAGTATATTAAAGCAATAATATTCGTAATATTTGTATGAAATTAAATAATTATAATATAAAAACTTACTTTCAATTGAATCGACGGCAGAGAATGCGAAACCCGAAGGGCACTATACATACAAATATATGAATTATTATATTGATAATTGTTTATAGTGTTTGTATTCAAATAACACATACCTGTCCCTGATTCTTGACCTGTGTCACCACATTCTTGGTCCTCCAGTCGACACTCTTGGGAAGAGTTAGATCGTCCACATCTTCAGCATAAGTGTTGTTCACTTGGTTTGCATTCACCTTCAGGTTCAGGAGCTGTCGGTACTCCTCGTTAGTCATGTCTGCAAACTGGTTGACACCCAATCGGAAAGTGTGGACACCTTTGTCGGCCTCAGCGTTATGGGCAGTGATGTACGCGTAGTTGGTCTCAAAGATCTGCCGGCGCACCGACTCCTCGCCCTCAGCTCCTAAGTAGGAGTTCCCACGGAATTCATTCTGTAATGCAATGATTAAAGTAAATTTATACTCAATTCTGGATTAAATAATACATTCCTTGAATGCAAT